CTTCCACTTAGGGACAGTTGCAAATTGTGGAAGACAATTAAACCGTCTTGTGCCGGGAAAATTGTCAAAGCTGCTTATAGATGGTCTGCTCCAGGATACTTTTGATAGCCTCATCTCAAAATACAATGATGAAAATCATGCGATATATGATCATGTTATAAAAAAAAATACTGGGTACCCAAAAAAAGAGCTGTTCATGTTTTTTTTGACTACTGATGCTGTTCACCTAGATAGTTGTAAATTGTGGAAGGCAATAAACTGTCTTGTGACGGAGAAGTTGTCGAAGCTGCTTATAGATGGTTCGCTTTGCCATAGCCTCATCTGAAAATCCAATGATGAAAATCATGTGATATGTGATTATGACTGCATCAAGTTCCTAGGGTTACATGTAGGCAACAAGGGAAGGGTTAAAAAAATACTGGGTAACCAAAATAAGAGCTGTGCATCTGATTTTTTACTACCAGTATAGTGCTGTTCACCTAGATACATGTATTTGTGTGTACATGTGCTAGGTCATGTAAAGTTACTTTTGTACACTAGCATAAATTTAAGTGTGAAAAATAATAAAACCTTGTCAAAATTTTCACATTCAAGCTCAGAGGAGAGGCAGTTAAAAGGTTTGTAAAATTTTACATTTTGGAGTCTGAGACTCTGACACCCAAAAATGCACCCAAAATCTTTTCCTGTGCTCCCAAATTTCAGTGCACCTCTTTTAAAAAAAAGTATTTCGACCCATGCTTAAAAGAGTCTATACATGTACACATAGATTTCTAATTGTAGTTTTATAATATCCTACATGTATGAGAATTTTGCAGTGTATTGGTATTCAGCTGACAAGATAACCAGCGTGTGTTGGATTGTAGCTGCGAAAGTTAATCCCAGGGATTATTGAGATCCATTAGACTGATGGAGAAGAATCAAACTCTCAGGATTGTTCAGCTTTATCATAGTTAAAAGAGCAGATGCACCCTGATGATATAGAAGAATGATATTCAGCTGACTAAAAACTTGCCACATAAATTTTTCCAGTTGCAAAATTCCATAGTACAAAATGTATACAGTACTGTATCTCTAGTGAGATGCTGGCTAGTGGAAAGGGGGTCTAGAATTAACTCCAAATCACTCAAACCATCTGATGAAGTACTTAGGATCCCAGTTAGCAACGAAAAGATGGCTAGAATAGTAAATATTAATAAGACCGCTAAACGGCATCTCATATTGGCCCTGTACAAGGCGTACATGTATTTGAAGCTGAATTATGAAGAGAGGTAGTTGTATCGGGTACAAATTTGGCTTCAATACTGCTTTAAATTTACTTGACAACGTTAACCTCCTCCAATGTGCAGCCAACATGTTGAGAGACCATATGTTTAAGAGCAGATTGGTGTACTTTGATGATATATATGTCTATATATATATACGAAGTGGAGTTGTAATGAAAGGTAGTTGTATTGCCGTACAAATTTGGCTTCAACGGTCTGTTTTTACTTGACAACCTCCCCCAATTAAATGTGCAGCCAACATGTTGAGAGTCTGGTTTGTGGACATACACACTAATGAACGGTGATGTTTCTGCACAAACTAATGGACTCCTCATGGAGGCAAACTGTTAGGACACCATTTCTGCCCATTACTGCAAATGGCTGGACCAGCTAACACGGCGGTAAGATGTCCATATATCCGCTGGAATGGCCGGCTGCCACCCTGCCCATTTGAAGGTTGTTTCCAAGGGGAAAATGGGGACATGTCCTAGTCGTTTAAATTTTGTTTGAATGGTTTTTATTAAGCTTTTGAAATGGTTGTTTCCAAGGGGAACGTGAGGACATGTTGTTGTTGTTTTGATATTGTTGGAATGCTTTTTATTAAGATTTTGAACATGATCTTGCACCTCAATGAGAATAATGTAGTTTATCAAGATTTGAAATTATATACAGGTTATTATGGATTATTTTGTCAAAAGGTCTACATTGTAATCATATTGTAAGGCTTTGGCTAAAAAATAACAACACTGTATGTAACATTATACTAGTAGCTTACAGACTTATTATATGTCTGATGTCTGCACTTTTAACCTTACAGTAATCTTGAATATAAATTATTCATATTTACAAAAAGTTTTTGAAGTAAATCTTATTAAGTTATTCAGTGTTTGTCTATTCTTCTATTCTCGAAATTTCGTCCTCTGAAGTCCAAGTTTGCGTAGCCACCCAAATCCAACAAAATCTGTCTAAAACTGCCGCCATATTGATTTTATCATTCTCGATGGTCGCACGGAGGAAAATCAAAATTTCCCAGTCGGAGAGCAGGATCAGCGAGCGGGCCATAAAGCTGCGAAAATCCTGCCGTGAATTTCATATCCGTGACCCGTTCGATAATAATTCTTTACAGATGGATCAATATCGACGGCCTTGGTCCAGCCATTACCATAAAAAGGTCCCCAGATGGCATAACGGCGTCGGCGGCCATTTGTTTTTTCCATATGCTCAGTTTACAACTACTCTTCCAAACAGAAGTTAACGCTTGGTCTTATTACCTTCGCTAAGAAGGTTATCTTTTCAGTATAGTGTTTGTGTGTGGTTTAGCGAGATAACTTGAGAAGCAGTGGATAGATTGGGATCAAACTTAGTAGGTGGGTAGGTCTTTATGAGACCTAGAAATTATTAGATTTTGGGTACCCTGGCAGCTTTCCTAGGTACTGCAGCAGGACGTCCGGTTTGGATACTTCGTGATCTAGACATGCTAGTTTTTTTTTTTAGGCATTTTTATATGTCAGGCTTTCTTTTTTTCAGGCGGCAAATGGATATTGCCTTGCGTATTTCATACTGTCTCGCCAATTTCATACTGTCTTGCAGCCACAAAAAGATCTCCTTGGAGATTAGTTTTAAAAGCTTTCTTTTTTCTTTGGTGTAAAGTTGAAATGCTGCCTCCGTGCTTCATCAAACAATGCCGTAGCGGTTCTCCCATTGGGTTCATATAGCTGACCCTCGGAGACAATGAAAGGGCCTCAGGTTTTACGATCGATGCAGTTAATTTTGGTAGCCAAAGGAACGTCGGACCAGAGGTTGTGGAAAGGCAATCACTAGGTAGCGTATGAAATTAGGCAGTAAAAAAAAAACATATATAAGTTAAAATTGGAATACATCAAAGGCATCTACCGCTATATGCTGTAAATAGGGATTCTACAAATTTTCACAAACTTATAAAGTGCCGATACAACTGTTTTTTTAGAAGCTTGAAGGATAGATGATGGCTCAGTACCTACTGAGTGAATCAGAGTCGTAATTTGATATTTTCACCCCGTTATGGGGGCATTTTTCACGCGGCCCCATCAGAGTGAAATTGCAGAGTCAACACATATTGGTGCTGATGACTCTTCAGTGTCATTTTCAAGGTCTTACGAGAAGCGCGATAATCAAATAGGAAAACTAAAGGGGACTAAAGTTGATATAAAAAATTTGTTTCAGTACAGTACTCTACTAGTGCTATAGCACAAGAATAAAACACAATTTGCTGTGATATGTTTGGTCTCTTATAATATATAAACACCTGTACAAATGTATGCTGCGGCCACCTAGGTTAACACACAGTAAAACAGTTGCAAACCTACTAAATATAATTATGCACCTAAACTTTTCAAACTGCACATAAAATTTTGTGAAAATTGCAGAGTCAACACATATTGGTGCTGATGAATTCCAGTGTCATTTTCAAGGTCTTACCAGAAGCGCGATAATCAAATAGGAAAACTAAAGGGAACTAAAGTTGATACATTGGTACAAGATACAAGAAATTTGTTTCAGTACAAATGTACTTACTGTACTGTAGCACAAGAATAAAATACACTTTGCTGTGATATGTTTAGTCTCTTATATTACAATGTATATAAACTACAATACAAATGTATACTGCAGCAGTCTAAGAAGGTTAACACACAGTAAAACAGTTGCAAACCTGAATAAATATAATTATGCACCTAAATTTTTCAAACTGCCCTGCCACCCCATCAGAGTGAAAATTGCAGAGTCAACACATATTGGTTCTGACGAATCTCAGTGTCAGATTCAAGGTCTTATTACGAGAAGCGCGACGGTGCAAAACGAGGTAAAGAGTGCGGTTGATTTACGCCGACGTTGCTACCTGTGAAATAGAATTGGATTGGAAACTTGGAGTGACGGATGGCGATGGCATTCACTCGACAGGTAGCATGCATCAGAGCCTAGATCCTGCTGGATAAGGGATGCTTCATGTGTAGTACAGGGGTAGGAGGGAGACAAAAAAGGGTTAATGCTCCACCCCGAAGTTTAAAACTTTGCAGTATGGAGTGACGGATGGCAATGGCATTCACTCGACAGGTAGCATGCATCAGGGCCTAGATCCTGGTGGATAAGGGACAGCTCATGCGTAGTGCAGGGGGATGGAGGGAGACAATAAAGGGTTAATGCCCAGCCCCTACAACTCATCCACCCAAAAGGTGGTTTATTTGACTACATAAGGCCAAACCAATTTAATTTCTTGGTTAACGGATTCGCTCGCTTCATTTTTTTTCTTATTTGCAAATAAAAATAAAAATTCAGAATCAACTGCAAAATGCTGACATATTTTGCCCAGAACAGTTGAAAACAGTCCTTTTCATCCTAGTTGTTACAGTTATTCCATCTTTCAATGCAGTAGTATCATTGAAAGTTCAAAATTCATTGTTTAAATTTTGAACCAGCCTGGTGTGTTGACTTCATGGCTCCTATCATACCATTTTGGGCCATAATAGGATGCCTAGACCTGTTTTTATTGTTATTTTTTTTTCGCCCGCCCGCTCCATTATTTTGCTAGAAAAATCCGTTAACCAAGAAATTAAATTGGTGTGGCCTAAGTGTACTGTATCACAGTGTATTTATAGGTTGATGCAAGAAAGTACCTAAACATACATGTAGGGTACAATCAAATGTGACTTACTTTATTAAGGTGTTTACTTCATTAATCATTTTTGCTTCTCTTCTATTCAGAATGGATCGAGCTGGCAATGCAGGGCAGAGCACAGGAGATCTACAAGGAACCAACCAAAGTGAGTTGTCAGTTGCATCAATATATTTCTTTTACAAAACTATGCCAAGGATCAAATCAGTAATTGAATAATAATAAGAATAATATAAGATTGCCAACAGTCCTTATCTACATAGATTTGGGTTTATCTGCACATTTGTCAAGACAGAGTTCAATTGGGAATTCAGGAAGCTGATGATTTTAAGCAACCCTCCAACCCTGCACAGTTTCTGTTCTAGTCCAAACTAATTTACTAGTGTGCCATACAGTCTCCTTGGTTGTTCCAGTAAATTCATGAAAAGCCAAAATATTTAATTCTATCGTGTCCCTGTGGTGTAGTGGCATCAGCTTTATCTTTTATCATGTCTGCAGGTTGTGCTGTACAGCCTTGGCTGGGCCATCTGTGCAGCCATCGGGATCCTGTTCATCGTGATCATGCCGATCGTGGGGCTGTGCTTCTGCTGCTGCCGCTGCTGCGGGAACTGTGGAGGGAAGATGCAGCAGACGGTCAGGGACAGCATGGTCTGCAAGAGGAGGGTCTTCGAGGTCTTCCTCTTCGTGGTCACCATACTGATTGCGTGAGTTTATTATTTATAATTTTTTACTCGTTTGGAGTTAAAAGTTTTGTTGGAACACAAAAGATTGTTCTCACCTACAAAATGTAGAGCCTTTGACCCAACAGTCAGTAGACACTCGTCACGTGGCTTCTCAGAAGTGTATCTTGAATACTGGGTCAAAGGTACCTTGTAAACAAGAGGGGTGAAAGAGGCTATGTACATCAGAGCCCAATACTCTAGTGCCATATGCATGATGTGGTTCTTGAAGGACTTCAACTTAAATACGTAGTAATTGTAATTCAATAAAAATCATTTTGGCTGTGTTACTTCACAATGGCTGGTTTCCATGAAACTATACTGTCAGCAACAGGCAAGACAAAAATGTTGCAACATCAACCAAACATCCAAAGAAAACTGAAAAATCCAGGCTCAACGCATAACGTTCTACCTATATGCTACATACACCTACGCAAAGATGCTAACATGTCCTGTCTCTCCCCCCAGAGTTGGTATGGTGTTTGCGTTCCTGTGTAACGATGTTGAAACAGAAGATTTACATTTAAACCTATAATTACCAACACAGATGAACTTTCATGACATGAAAAGATATTGTCTGCAACATGCAATATTCTGGTACAACGTTGCTCAACAAACAGAAGCAGTACATTCTGCCAACTTGCTACATACAATTGCAACTACATTCTACACCTACATAAAGGTACATTTTGTAATAACATGTCCCGTCTCTCCCCCCAGAGTGGGCATGGTGTTTGCGTTCCTGTGTAATGATGCCCTGAGCACGTCTGTGACCCAGGCCAACACCACCATCTCCGGGACCTTCCAGAACGTCAGGAAATACTTCAACAATACCAAAACTGTAAGTGTATAGTGTGATGTCGTAAGACTAATTTGCTATCTTTTTAAGTTCTACGTAATTCCAGCTTTTAGATATTTGCAACGTACAGAAAACATTCAATTTTGTACTTTGGTTAGTGGAAAATGTTATGATGAACTGAAGAAGTCATTAAATACTTAATATGCATTGTGTAATTTTTCTCTAATTCGTATTCTTCTACCTACATTGAATTTTCGGAAAGAAATTGCTCAAAGAGGCACTATATGATATCTAATTTTATGACTGTATGATTTATTATTTCAGAATGAAGTAAGCTATAAAAAAGTTTTCCTCAAAACATGGATTTCATTTTTGAGTTGGACCTGTAACGCCATTTCTTATTTACAAAATAGGCCCACATTTGGGCATCTTAATCCTTCCTTCACCTGGTTATCAGCAGCCTGCAGACATTCTGTGTTAGCAAGGAATTCTCATGCACGATTAGAGACAAAGTGAGCTGCTTTCTGCTTGAGGACAGTTGTTTAAGGTCTGTCCCAGGAGTTTAACAAGTCAGCCAAACAGACCAGCACCTCTGTCCTCACAGTGTCTGATGACAGAGGAGCCATTGTCTAACTGTAAGACTAGCAGAACGTTTGCTGACGTAATCTTGACTCTAGAAAATCCCTGCTATCTGACACTGATATATTTTTAACACTTTACAAAATGTTCATTGTCAAGTAGTTTCAGTTTGGTTATACATGTAAGTTACCTCTCATGAGTGTTAAATGTCATTGATATATATTACACAGCAGTGTTCTAGCCAGCATACATGTAACTTTCTGTTATTTGCCGCTTTTAAAGAAGGACAAATATTTTGCAAAAATTGGCATAAAGAGATATGGAAAGTGATGTCATTAAAACTAAGCTTAACAAAATTTGGCCTTCAAAATGCATTTCATTTGTGAAGGTGAAACTTTTGGCACATTTTGATGCAATGTATAATATGTCAAACAAGATTGAGATGATGGAAAGAAATTCTGCCTGGCTAGAGCACTGTTACACAGACAATCAGAATTCATTAGTGTTTTGGTTTAAAAAAAAACCTTTTCACCTTTCGCTTTGTTTTTGCAGCAATTGGACTACATTGTGGACCAGTATGACACCATGTCAGGGGCAGTCAACTATGACCTGGACAGTAAGTATACAGTAGAAGGTCACTGAACTCAATTGACACACAAACCTTGAGAATTTGTGTCATATTGGATGTCATATTAGCTTACAATTTAGTTTGTGGGTCCAAAATACTATTTGGTATGATAGGACATTACCAAAAAGGTACTGTAGTTCTTAGAAGTTGTATTCAAAGCTTCAGGAAGAGACCTTAAGTCAACAAATTTCACCCTCCAAGGGTTTCAAAGGGGGAGCAACTTTGCCAGACATCTCACGTGGCGCGGCGTACAATAGGCTCTGTTTACACCAAAGCTAATCACTGACAATTTGTGCATCAATGAAAACAAGTCATGAGCCATTGGAAGTGTTTAGGCAATAGGAAAAGCAAACTTTCTAAACGCCTTGTCACCACCCTAATCTGTTGTGCATTCAAATGTGTGACCCGTGATATACAGCCCTGTAAGTTCATTTAGTTTTAACGAGAAAAATACATGTATGTCTTAAAGAGATCTCTAAAGCATCATCTCCCAGTATAATGCACTACTGCATATGTAAACTGTCTGTGCATACCTGGGGGTTTTAGATCTCTTAAACATACTACTGTTTTTCAATGTGGTGGATACTGTCAAATACATAGCTGATAAATGTTAATGGAGGTTATTACTCAAGAGTCTGACTATTGTCAACCTGGGATGTAAGTAACATTTTAAATGAAGAAACTTTTGCTGGATTTTCCTTTACACAAACAGTGACAATCAATGAACCTATTTCATTACCAACTGTTAAATAACTATAGGGCACAGGAGCCTATAGCAACATTAAATTTTACACTGCCAGTTTTATGGACAAGTACAAATTACGCTGCTCATGTTTAACTACCATATAAAACTGACCACACTGTTATTGAATGTGCAGATATTGACCAGACCCTGGGAGTGGCCGTCCGTGAGCGCCTGAGGCCAGAAGTGGGGACGGCGGTCAATCAACTGGTGGACATGATCAACAGTAAGTTTTCTATTATGAAGTTCATCTGTGTTGGTAGTAATCATACTAAGGCCTAGGAAAATAAATGTTGTGTTTCCTGTTTCCCGACCGACCCTAAAAAAACCGCCGACCCTAGACTTATTTTTGTGTGGACCCCTGCATATTGCTGAACCAAAACATTTGCACGACGCTACCGAGAGAATCGCTGTCATTGGTGGAACATCGGGCGCCCCGCTAGCGTTTTGAAGCCGTGTAAACAACGCTTATTGTCTGATTTGTTTGTAAAACAAAGCCCTCGACCCCGAAAATAAGTTTAACAAAAAAGCCGATACGTTTACGAAACCGTAGAAAATTCGCTATCGACGTAAAGCACATGGTGGCCGCAAGTCCTGAATCTCAAAAATCGGCAACGCGGCAGAAAAAATGCCTGGTCCATTTTAGCGATTTTTACCATAAAAATAACGTATGTGGTTTATTTTCCCTCTGGTGTTAGTTTTTAGGTCCCGAAACCCTTTAAAAAAGTAGAAATTTGCCGGCAAATCGGACGGCCGAGGTGGGGAGGGCGCCTGCATTTAGAGCTGCGTGACCCGTAAAGTCAAAGGTCATAGGGCACGCGTATTGCGCAATCATCGTAAATTGCGCCGATTTAGCTAATTTTAGGGCGTTTAAAATTGATACAATCACATTATCGATTTTTAGGAAAACATTGGGATAGAAACCAATCAAAATTTTGCGCTGAATAATATTTTTTTCTTCAGATTTTTTTTCTTCGGAAGTTTTTTTCGTCAGAAGTTTTTTCCTCAAAAGTTTTTTTTTCTTCAAAAGTTTTTCTTCTTCGAAAGTTTTTTTCTTCAAAATTTTTTTTCTTCAGGCGTTTTTTCCTTCAGAAGTTTTTCTTCTTCTGAATCCACTAACTTTGACCAGACTAGACAATGTACCATACCAACCAATTATTATGTTGAAATATTTGTACTTAATTGGGCTTGATTTTCTATCTCTTAAGTTAGACAGATTTTCAACTCAAGTTGCAGGAGAAGGCTACAAACTGCATTTCAGAATGGTACGTATTGAAATGCAACAGCTTCTCCTGCGCGCTGCGTAGGGCGCAAAGTTGGAGACCCCTGAAATATAATATTGCACAATTGATTTTTCAACTTGTTCTACTTAAATAAACACAGCAATCAGCAAAGTCTAAAAAAAATAAAAATAAAAAATAAAATAAGATAATCCCTACCTACCGACCCTAATTTTTTCAGGACCGAAACAGGAAACACAACATTTTTTTTCCTTGGCCTAAGATGTTGAACTTTATTCCAACGCAAAGACTACACAGAGATCAAATTTTAAATGACCACTGTTGCCTTCATCATGATGATTAATGACCAATCACTTCAAAATTACAGTTACAGACACGTGACCTTATTCAAACTTTACGGATATGACTTTACGGATATGTGATGTCAGCAATTGATCAGGGATCAGCAATTGTGCCAGGGAGTTTATATTGTCCACCGTCTCTGTTAAGTGATGGCTAGAGCTTTCTTTATCTGTATAGCCAATATGACCGCCCTTTGGTGTAACACACCAGCTTTCTACCAGTCCCTCTGGCTTTCCTCAGTAGACTGACCCAGTGAGACTTGTCACTTGGCTTCTCTGAAGAATAATTTTCCTTTCCCTCTCCCCTCCCCCCAGCCGTGGAGCCTACAAAGATGGCGCTCCTGGAGGTGCAGAGAGCTCTGGGCCAGCTGCAGACCGGCGCGCAGGACCTGAACTCCGCCCTCGCCGACCAGAGAACCACCCTTAACAACACCCTCAACTTCTGCGACCCGACCGACTCTGTCTGCGTCAACCTGAGGAACGAGGTCAACCAGCTCAGCCCTGGGGGAGACTTCAGCGCAGTGAGTACTCTACGTCAAATTGTACCTTTACATTTCAGCATTGATGTAAGCGTGCATGTAGTTAATATCAATCAGTAACATAACGTCTGACCCTTTCCAAAATCATACACAAAAGTAGTTACTCAAGCAACTGTATATCTTATTACAATGTACAACTTAACGTATCATGAGACTTCAGTGCAGGGAGTACTCTGTTTCAGATTGAACATTTCAGCATTGATGTATAGTTGATCTACATGTACAAGTAGTTTATATCAATCAGTAACATAATAATGCTCTAACCCCAGTGATTGAATGAGATGTCCACATACTACAACAGAGTAAGTGTATTGACTCAGTGCCCCCTAGGGGCGAAGTAGCAAAGTGCACATGTGCAAGAGTACAATGGCAGGACATACAACAGACTGTATATTAACATTCTTATTCTGTTTCTTTTGTTAACCAAGAACTTAAGCTTGTATAGAAATTTAGCATGTACCAATATCTGCATGTAACATAATATAATTCACTCACTCTTACTGACTCTGGTTTAGCACCTTTGCTAATTTTATTTAATAAAGCCAGCTGGCATTAAGTCGTGAACATCTTTTGTGCTTCCATCCTCAGCTGACCGATGTGAACACAGAGCTTGATGCGGTCAACACCCTGCTGTCTTCATACGACATCCCAGCAATCGCTGACATGGCGAACAGCGCATTCGAGGGGATCCCCAACAGAGTCCAGAACTACTCAACCGACGTCGTAGCAGGTATTTTCATCCACTAAGATCTTTTTCTGGAAAAAATATGATGTCGTTAGGGTAAACATGGTGTTTGGTTTGTTTGTTTGTTTGCTTGGTTGTTTTTAAAAAGTCCAAAAGTGATACTGTACATATATAAGGTCGGCATCATAAAGTTTTTATTTTATTTTATCTGTCATGTGTTTTCATCTCTTTTAAAATCTCTCCAGAAAGAATAGCTTTGTAGACAAATGTGTATCAGGCTAATGGAAAAATAAAGTATCCATTGCAAGTATCCAAGTATAACTGATCTCCTGTTGTTTACAGATGTGAAGAAGCTACTGGCAGACAATAAGGACGTGTTCGCCAACCTGTCAGCCAGCCTGGATGGACAAGTGAAAGTGGTAAGGCCACAACATACAGTACTGAAAAAACATGTTACAAATCAGTTCAAAATTAGTCAGTTTTGAAGAAGCATATAGAATATTCAATATTCAAGTTTTCTTGAACACAACCAGTAAAGTCTCTTACTTTCTTAAGTTTTGATGCTTGTCAGACATCTTCCTCAGTTTCTGACTGGAGTGTTGCTTTTCCAAAGAAAACTTCAATGTTACACCAACCTGATGAAATTATTTTTGGACAAATACAATATTGTCTGTTCATCCTTTTCCTTACGCTTCCTACCCTTTTCTAATGTGAAACAACCTCCAAAATGTTTGCCCATAGACAAAGCCAAGAAACATGGTCTTGCATGTAGAAGAATTAATTTTGTATTTTTCTATTCCTCAGATTGCAAACAACACAGAAGTGTACCAGGATGTTGCAACTCAGTACCTGATGAAGTTTGTTGTCCCAAATAACATGTACAGGTAAGATTTCTGAGAAGATCTACGTACATGTACACATGTATACTCTCTAATGGAATACATTGTACATGTATACTCTTTAATCTAAAGGTGGTACGCAGATTACAAGTCTCTGATTCTTGTTGAGACATTATTTCTTTGTTTTTCCCGTGTATATATGAACGAACGAATGAATGAATCTCCAATTTCTTGTTCCTGAGATTTTTCCCATGTGTTGTATTTCTGGTGTACATGTAGGTTTGAAGTCTGTTTTCCTGTTGCTAAGATATTTCCTGTTTGTTGTATTTCTCCCGTAGGTGGTACGCAGGTTTGGGTCTGTGTTGTCTGGTCCTGCTGGTGGTGGTGTTTAACCTGCTGGGCCTGATCTTTGGCCTGTGCAGCTACAACAGCGACCACACCCCCACCACTCGCACATGTGGGTCAACCACCGGTGGAAACCTGCTCATGTCGTAAGTAATAACTTTCACAGCAATCCAAATTATGTGGGTCTGTATGGGGGGATCCTGGGTCTGATATTCAGCCTGTGTAGCTACAACAGCGACCACACCCCCACCACACGCACATGTGGCTCTACCACAGGAGGGAACCTGCTCATGTCGTAAGTATTAATAAGAATTATGTGGGTCTGTATGGGGGGATCCTGGGTCTGATATTCGGCCTGTGCAGCTACAACAGCGACCACACCCCCACCACACGCACATGTGGGTCCACCACCGGTGGAAACCTGCTCATGTCGTAAGTAATAACTTTCACAGCAATCCAAATTATGTGGGTCTGTATGGGGGGATCCTGGGTCTGATATTCGGCCTGTGCAGCTACAACAGCGACCACACCCCCACCACTCGCACATGTGGATCAACCACTGGAGGAAACCTGCTCATGTCGTAAGTAATAATAAGAATTATGTGGGTCTGTATGGGGGGATCCTGGGTCTGATATTCGGCCTTTGCAGCTACAACAGTGACCACACCCCCACCACTCGCACATGTGGGTCCACCACAGGAGGGAACCTGCTCATGTCGTAAGTACAGTCAAACCTGCTCAAGAAGGCCACCAGGGGACAGAGCTAAACTGGTCTGCTTGGACAGGTGGCCCTCTTATGCAGGTTGCTTCATGCTTGTGCTTATGAAAAAAAAGTTCCAAGACTGGTGGTTGTTATGGCCATGTTGCTGGCTTGAAAGGTAGCCATGTGGGCAGGTTTGATTTTAATCACTTCCACAGAAATTCAAATGATCTATTTTCCAGAGAGGTTATATTTTTCAAATTTGTGAAAACTGTGAAAAGTTTGATTTGCAACAAAAAAACACACACACACAAGTTGTCATCAAGGATGTTTATAGGCAAATGATTGTACAAGCTATAAGTCAGACATAAGAAACTTACTGTGCAGTTGATTTGTGATCTGCTAGGTGGTGCTCACACAAAGCCAACTTTTTTTTTTAATCCCAGGTCTGTTGGGTTTGCGTTCCTGTTCTGCTGGCTGTTGATGCTGCTGGTGACCATTTTCTTCCTAGTGGGGTCGCCCATGGAGCGCTTCGTGTGCCGACCGCTCGAGACACAGGAGATCTTTGCTGAGGTAAGTGGTTGACAAGGAATGCAATTCACCTTTCTTTCTTATTATCTCATGAAAGTTAGGTGCTTGTACCTTGTACCTTGTACAGTGCCTTACCTTGAACAGACTGGGGGCGTCACTACCTCAAGCCTGTACATGACGTCACGTGACAGAGATCTGACTTTACCAGGTTGTTGAAGAGACAGAGTGCATCTCGAAAACTCCCCACAGTAGCAAATTCGTTTTGTTGAGTGTACTGTTAAAATATTTGTCAAAATATTTGTATCATTAAGCATGACTTGAAAATATTAATGGATATCTAGAGACAAGGCCAAATGAATAAGGTTTACATGAGTTTTACTTATACCACTGCAAAAGTATTTAAATTTTGGCATGTCATTCTGAATCTTTTCACAGACCATTGACAAGCCGTACTTCCTGAAAACACCGCTAAGTTCCAACAACAACGATACCCAGTCGGGAACCCCGGCGCCCAGCCCCAAGTACCTCCTGGGTCAGTTGCTCCTGCAGGATGACCAGATTCCTCTCAAGGCAGGGGACATCCTCAGGTAAGGAGGAAATTGAAACATTCATACAGGACAGTGAGACAAGCTGTAAGATTTCCTTTCCAAGCCTCTGGCCACCTGTATCCATTTTCCCTGATGGTACACCAAGTCTATTTAGGCCTCTGGTTTGGAATGGGGTTAACCATTACACGCCTGTCAATTAAAACATAGGATACATAAGGGGTTTTTCTTTGCACAACAGATAACTTCTCTGCCCTGCTTATGTTTTGATGCTCAGGGCTTCTGACTGAAGCGCTGTTTCTTGCTGCTGTATGTAGCCGATGTAGGTTGCGCTTTTGCCACAAAAGTGTAAGACCTGGGGCCCTTACCATCTGGTAAAAGGCATGACTAAAAGGAGACTTGGAAGTTTTTTTACCTGAAAATGAGAGTTAATGGACAAACACACCTATTTTTGTGATATTGCTGTTACAAGTGTCAGCTTTTTTCAGTGTGGAGGAAATAAACAAAACTTTTAAAACAACTTGTTTTGCCTGCAGGAACTGTTCAGACAACAAAGGCTTGCTGGCTGTGCTTCAGCTGGACAGGTACAGTTTTGGAGGCACCGACACCTCCGACCTCCTGGACCAGATCAACAACATCAACATCGATGGTGAGGCATCATAAACCTAGACAAGTTAATATTCTGTAGCATCAAAGAGTCTATTACTGTTAGTGTTATTAGGTGACATTCAACCTTGCTGTTCTTAGTGTAATGTATGACTGTGACATTGTACATACATGTACCAGCATAATTCATTTCAGATTCACTAAGTCTGCTAAGTGGTATTTTGACTAAAATTTTTAAAGTTGTCAAATTTAACAGGTAAGATATTCAGTGCTCTAAATACAATATTTTTTATTTCCGTGCATATTTAATGCTACCGTAAGGTTTTTTGAGTGTTTCAATTTTGCATTCCAAAGAAGACTGAAGCGCAAAACCACATATTTGCGGTGTCATGACTTTGCGGTGGAGAGAGACCATGAAAACCAAGGAAATAAAAACATAGCAAATATCTCAATATTTACAGTAAATGCCGAACCCAAAAGTTGTTTCAAGTTTGTTTGTTTGTGTCCACAGACCAGCTGGATACTCTGGACGTGGATTTCTCAACGGTCAAAGTTCTTGACCAGGACACCAGGGACAGCATGACTGACTTCAGGGACAGCGGAGTGTCCAACATCGACTTTGATGCTTACTTAGCCGAGGTAAAGTAGCAACTTTTCTTTTCTATGGGCTTTATCACATTTATTGTTGTGTGGTTGTGTGGCACAAGGGTAGTGAGTGTTCGAGCCCTGACATGCCACTGATCTTGTACCCTTGGGAAAGGCACTTTACACAACTTTCCTTACTTAACTCGAGTGAAAATGAGTATTGTCCTGTATTTGTTTTTATTTGTGGGACACAACACCAGCAGCAGCTGCCTGTGTCCCACATGTATTGTTTCCTACAATTTCATTAAATCAAATCAAATCGTGCAGGACTCAAAGAACATTTTTTGTGCCACCTGCATATTTTTTTTTGCTGGTTTGTGCAGGTGAAATTGTATTTTTTTAAGTTTAGGATAGACAGTTTTATCACAATATTATCTATATTAGTATGAACATTTTGACAATGTCTTTTCACAGGTGAACAAGGGTCTGACTCAGGTGGACCTGCCTACTTACGCCCAGGGCCTGAGAACTGCCGCTGACAACTTCCAGGAGGGATCAAATGTGGTCAGTAAAACAGACAGTATCTGTCTGTATCTGTACCTGTAGTGGTGTGTCTGCCCTTCAACATAACACACCAGTTTTGTAGGCACATGGTGCAGCGGCAGCTGGCTCTCCATATTTGTCAACCAAAATCCATCCTGAGTAAAACAGACAGTAGCTCCATATTCACCAACCAAATTCAGTTCGAAACAGTTACTGTCCTCCTGATATACTAACTTTTATTTAATGTATTCCATTTATCTTTTGTGATAGTAATTTTGTAATAGTTACTGTTGTAAAATAGTTTACAATCATTTGCAATACAATGTTACACATACCTGTACACGTGACACTGTTTTCTACCTCCATGACTGAAATTATGTCGTATTTGTGACGCTCAGGAGCACAGCATTATTTTGTACCTTGTTCATTTTATGTCCCTTCCTCAGATAAATGGAGTCAGAAACAATGCCGACAGGATAGACCAGCTACAAACCACCAAGGTGGTGCCCCTTCTGGATGATGTGGTAAGTACAAATGTAACTTCTTTATCATTGTTCATCTATTTTAAGTACTAAGTACCTAATACCAGCCCAGAAGAGAACAAGAAGTAGCCATGCATTCAAGTACCAGAGTTATCAACCAAGGATTGAGGTGTTCAAGAATTCATTCTTTCCTAGAACTATCGCAGAGTGGAACTCACTGTCACCAAGTATAGTAGGGGCACTGTCAATAGATAGCTTTAAACAATGTCTAGAGCTAGAAGTTCAAGGGTTAGGTGTAACAAGTCGATCGGTGTAATATAGCCAGCTGCCGCCGCGCCGCGTGCCTGCGAAGCTGGTGTGTTACGCCGAAAGGCGGTTATACCGGCTATACAGATACAGATACAGTCAGATATTCATCCATCAATCAATCAATGAGTGATAGTTACATATTTTCCAAGTTAATAAATTGGTGTTTTTCTTTCATTTTTCAGGACAAACTGAAGACCAACATCCAGCAACTCAAACGGACAGTTTCAGATCTCCAGGTGATTTTAAACTCATACCAAATTGAATCATTGTCTACAACTGTATATTTTTCTTTGCTTGTATATACCTATTAATAATAAAATGTGGTATCAATGAAGAGGTTCATTAGTCACTTAAGATTAACAGTTCACATGTTTCTACCTTTGAAAACACTAACTGATTGGTTCTACATTCAAATCAAAATGTGGTATGTTTTTACAATGGGCTTCTGAGTACTTACTGAGTATTTTGTTTCTGACAGACTTCGATTGACGCCCTTCTGGCATCAGCACAAAATGCAGAAACCTACCTCCAGACCCAGGGTGGAGATGCTGTCAAAGATGTAAGTGGCAAATACTTAAAATGTTTGCAATAGTTTTATTAACCCAGTGACCTCCTATATATGTACCTTGAAATCTTGACACCATGAATAGGTGTATATATTTTGTATTTACTACAGTAACTGTACTACAGAATTTTTTCAACTGAGAGCTTCCATAACTGCAAATTCAAAGAAATTCTTGTGAAGATAAAATTGATTTGAGGAATTATAATTCAAGGTATTCATAGTGCCGTTTGTATTGGATGAAGAGATGACCTTAATCTGAAGTATCATGTAGTAGTAAAAGTGGCCTGTAGTGCGGTGAAGTTCAGAAATAAGTTCAGGAAAAAAACTACATGTATCTGAATGATTGAATATAAAAAGTAAGCTGCAACATTTTCAAACACTCCATGCTACATGACTGTATCTTTACTCATCTGACCATTGTTTGTTTGTTTGAATTGTTTACAGGAAGCCAAGACGTATGCAAACCAACTGTTGGGATATGCACAACAGTATGCTGACTGGATCATGGTCAGGGTAGGGATTCTTGCATCACTTCCTCACAGTTTAAGTTTCTACCTGCACCTATGGTGCATAGACTTACCATTTTGTAACCCTTGGGCCACACAATTGTGCAATCTCTACAACAGGGGGCTAGTCCACTAGTAGTGCTGTGTGTTTAGTATCTCTTATACTCTCATGCACCTAAAGTATTAAGTTGCCGCCTTAAAAGGAAAATGTTTTCTATATCTAATATATAGCCAGTATAACAGCCCCTCGGCATAGCACACTAGTTTTGATTATTATGGCAATCTACCTACCTAGTCCCATGACCGACATTGGTCGTCAGGGGGACAAGGCAGACTTTGCAGAGATGGTGCCAGACTATCCGAGCAGTAGAACAAGATATTCTACTATTGCAGCTAGAATGGTACATATCAATGATTTTCATACCTGTGACTGTGGATTCAACTTTCTCTCTGGTCATCCTTCCAGTTCAATGAGGATTTTGGTGGCTGCAAACCAGTCAGTGATGCCTACCAGTCTGTCGTACTACTGCTCTGTTCATACTTCCTGGATGCCTTCGTAAGTTTTGTTGTTGTTGTATCACAAGTTCTATTTACAATGATGGATACAAATGCATATATTTTAAAAGTTCATCTGTGGTGGTAGAAGTGATTATGAAACAAGTTTGAACTGCGATTTCCAACACAAGAAATTGGACTCATAGCCAAGCAAATTGTAGCTGTTTCGTAATAGTGTACAGTAGTATAATGGTTTATTCACACATTTCATGACATATACATATACATGTAAAAGTCATGGCCTTAGTGCTTACTTGTAGACTGTTCTTACATTGTATATCTTAAACTTTTAGAATGTTCAACCTCAGAATATCAAGTCTAAAAAAATCATTACAGTTTAAAACATTGATCATGCAATGTCTCTTTACTCCTGACTTTTTCTCATGCCTTTTCTGCAGAACGGTTTCTGGTTTGGTCTGGGCTGGTGCCTGCTGTTCTATGTTCCCTCCATGATCTTCGGAGTCAAGCTGGCCAAACACTACAGGAGGATGGACTATGAAACAGGATATGATGAGTGAGTGAAATACTTATACTTCTACATAATACAGGACAAAGTGCCTCACGGCACATCGCTTATATCGGAAATAGTTTAGCTGTACTTTTTTTCAAAACTTAGAAATATATTTCAATGGTAGCTCTTAAATTTTTTACCCCAGAAGTTTGTTTTCTGCATGTGTGATAAGTTTTTGGATATGCCTATAATAACATTAGTAGTGGTTGGTGTTATACATGTAAGTATATATGAGAACAACATGTCTGTATCTAACACAGTAGACCTTTAGCTGTGTGCAGGTAACTGAATGGTTACATAGAATGTAGCATTAGATTTATACTTAGTCTACGTATGAGTTTGTCCTATATCCTTTCCATCGCCTGCTCCCCAAACTGACCAACTCACCATTTGTGTTGTCCACAGCTACGACTACCGTTATGAAAATGTGCCGATGTCCAAGTGAGTGACAGTTTAGTAACTGACCTTTAGCATACATGTAGTTACTCATCTTGTGTTACCTTCATTTATAATGATTATTAATGTTTGATTATAAGTAATTTTTTGAATAAGAATACATGTAGCTGTTACTGTATACAGTACTGTATTCCTTAAAGCTTTTATGTGTAGCAAGGAAAGAAGTAGGTTGTTCAATGCATACATTTTGTTGAGAGCTGTGTTGCCCTGTGGCAGATTAGCTACAGGACTACATTCAAAGATTTTATTATTGTCATATTATTATCAAGGTTTTGACATCTCTGAACAATGTGAATTTATTTTTTTTAATGGCACTGAAGTTGCAGTTACATTTTGCCCAATTTTTTTTTGTCTCACCACCATGGAAAATCTAACTACTCTTTTCTTTCTTTTTTGCATCACTGGAAATTTAACATTTCACACATTTTTTTCTTTCTTTTTTTTTTACATAATTCACGTTAACATAGAAATTGTCACGTTTTTTCATACTTGCAGTCTGAATGTCTCTATCCCTCGGGTTGAGAGAACAGGCTTATGACCAGGCAAGCACTTGTGGATTTTTTTTCTGTTTTATGTTCATTTTTCCATCCCCCCCCCCCTATCCTGGGCGCCAGCTTTTTTAGCTTTAGTACTGCGGTCTCTCGGTCGCTTCAATACCAAAAAGACTGGGCCTGCAAATATTCTTTCTGTCTGGTCACATAATGACCTAATTCAGCCGTTGCATCATGTATCTGTATATAGCCAGTATAACCACCCTTCGGTGTAACACACCAGCTACGTGTGTTACCCGTAGGTGCCGTGGCCCAATCGCCTTTGCTGATTGGTTGACCCCATATACTGCCTGTCAATCAGCATGCCCGTTCAGATTCTGAACAAATATTCAAATGACAGAGAGAAAGAATACATGCAGGCCTAGTCAGTGACCAAGAGACTGTACTAAAGCTAAAAAGATGGCATCCAGCCTATTTTTCCCCTGCATGCACCTGTTTACCTTATGTTTTTTTATGTTTATTTACTTCTTTGTCATGTACATGTACACTTCATGCATGGACGGTACATGTGGCTCTCTGTGTCACAACCTTATGAACTTTCACCATTGACTGCATCAAAATGCATCTCACACTTTAACACCCCCTTAATCCACTAGAGGCCGTGATTTATAAGCGACCTAAAATTTAACAGGTCGCTCAATGAGTTTTATGGCCAAAGCAGGGATCTTCAACATATTTTCTGCATTATATTTCAATCATGAAGTCAATGGTCGCACAAATTTGATTTTGATCACTCAGCAATTGCTGTCTAGTGGTGTCCGGCATCCTTATGTAATTAAAATATAATTCTGCAGCAAATAAAAGCCCAAATACATCTATATGATAAATAAATCCAGTACATGGACCAGTGCAGGCTAGATTCCGGTAGAAATACCTGCACAGCCCCAATATTACCTGCACTAAGCTGCATATACCAAGTCCTTTAGTATTTCAAGTCCTGATCCCAGAATGAGTCACAAATTCAGCAAAACGGCTGTTTCGAGTTAAAGGCTCGGGCTGAAAGTATACAAAATTCTCTAGGATTGAATTAGCATCTCCAGACTGTCCTTATGCCACCTGTTGGTACTGAATATCTCTTCTTATCCTGATCCTCCAAACTCAGAACTGATTTTTTTTTCTGCAAGGAACATTGCCTGAAGAAACACTTTTTTGTCTGTCGCTTTTGGTCGAAAGGAAATTATCGGAGAAATATTTTGTTACAGCTTTTGCAAAGGCAGATTGTTCCTGCAACTTCCAACCAGCTAAGTCAGGCTGGAACCATTTAGACATTAGTTTGCCTTGTTTTGCTTTGAGGAGCTCAGACAACAAAATATATTGATTGTCCCTCTATGTCCGAATTCAGCTGAGCTGTACTTTTCCTCACAACCATGCCTTGAAAGCAAAAGAAAAGGAGTCTCCAATGATACATAATGAAGATGTGTAATATGCACTCACAGGAGACTGGTTATTGGGGTTTTGTTGTACACAACAAGTAAAGTCTCACCTCCTTACATCTTGATGCCTATCAGACACCTTCCTCTGATCTAAAGCTTCCTCAGAGGTAAATGTCTGATAGCATCAAAATGTAAAGAGGTAAGACTTGACTTGTTGTGCAAAAAAGAAAACTCCAATATCCAGTCTCCTGTGTATATTACACAACCTCAGTATGCATCATGTATGTTCTACCAACATGGTGAAATAATTTTTGGTACACGGGAGACTGTTAGTGAACATGAACTGAATTACAGGATTTCATTTCATTTATTTCGAAGCCTTTTGGTCCTGCAGGGCTAATCTTCCAAGGCTCAGACATTAAAAATTTATCACATACATGGAAAATACAGTGAATACATTTAGAAAGACATAAATTCGAGATTGAGGCTCATGTGACACTGTGTGCGATAGCTTTTTTGAACCTGAGTAGGTTACTCAGTGTCTTAACATGATATGGTAGGATGCACAGGAGAGTGTTATTGAAAGTGAAGTTAGTGAAAGTGGAGTGAGAAGTTTGTTTTTTGTTGCAGCGCCACGACCCCGAGCCCCGGCTTCCAGAAGGCATTTTTCTTTAACCCCAGCCGGGTCCGAGAGTCCGATCTCTGACAATATCAGGCAAAAACATTTTAGGTTTACCTACTACCCTGGGAGGCAAACTAGTATCAGGCTGTTAGCCGTTTTACTTCGGCAGCCAAGAGCCCTTCGCCCGCCTATCTAAATTGCTATTACAACAGGGGGAGTTGAGCCCGGGGTGAGTTTGTCCGGCCCCATTACTAGTCTGGTGTCACCTCTCTTGGCTGTCATTGGCCAGGCTAGCCAAACTCCCCCCAGGCTTAGCTACCCTGTAGCAGTAATTTAGATAGGCAGGCGAAGGGCTCTTGGCTGCTGAAGGAAAATGGCTAACAGCCCAATACTAGTCTGGGTCCTAGGGTAGATTACCTACATCTACACCTAAATCTAACAGCTTTTCTCTTAGATCTCCCCAAACTTTCTTCTCTTGGTGCTGTAGAGCTCGTGAAGGTTTCTCACTGGAAAACTTTCTTTCAGTAGGAATTGCTGGATTAGAAGAGATAACTATTAACTGTTTATCCAATGAAACTTTTTTGATAATAGTACTTGCATTCTGAGAATGGCAAAATGTAGCTGCAACTTCTGGGGAATTAGAGTGAGCATTTACTGCATATTTTTTAATGGAGAATAGCTGGGCTTTTGTTTAGTATATATAGAACCATGGATATGGTTTGGGGTTTTCAGGGGTATGCAAATTTAGTATAATTAGTGCGTTGAACAACATGACTGTACCTGTAAATGACAATGTGGAAAATTGGTGTCAATTTCATCTTTTTTTGTGTAATTCAGTTAGCTGAATGACAAACTTGCTCCCATCTTTCTCTTGCCTGGCATGGCTGTCAGAAAACCCTTCTCATCCCTTTTTGTGTGTTTCAGGCTTCCAGCTATTAAACTCACGTGTACGTGTACATGTGCATGTATGCTGTACCTACTGTACCTCTTCTAAAGGCGCCCAGTGCAATTTCAGGGAGACAAATCTGGATTTTCAAAGTCTAGTCATTCTTTTCATAAATCCTATACCATAGCATACTGATATCTGTGACACAAAAATTTGATGTTACTTTTTTGTTTCATAGCTGGTTCTAGCTATTTATTGGTGGCACCAAAAATAAAAGGACTCCTCGCATAGCTTGTTTATACACATGTAGGCTATTTCAAATGATTCAACTATGTCATGTAATGACGACGAAAATGTGCTAAAGAATGGCAGTAGATGTCAATATCACACAGATTTCCTCATCCAGAATTTTTTTTGGCCTTGAAATTATACTGGATGCCTTTAAGTTTTAGGGCTTTTCATTGTCCTATATAATCTTCTTTCCTGTGTGTGTTGAGGAGACCTTAGAATTGAATTGTTGTGTTCCTTTCAGCATGGACAGGAAACAACCATCTGCACCTCCCGCTTGGCATAGGTAAGGATTTTGTGTTGTTTTCAAGACATACACGTACACACACAACATAGAGAAGAATTGTTTTAATGCAACTGTATACTTAAGCTTAATTGTTTTAATGCAACTGTAATTGTTTTAATGCAACTGTATACTCTCGCTCTTTTCAGAACTTCAATGCAGTTAACTTCAATATTATTATCTGAACATTGATCATTGTAATTAATGCAAACATTTATCAAAATATAAATATTTGCATGAACTTTATTTCTTTCACATTGCTTCACTCACATTTGGCTATATTGTAGTGTAGACTCTACTGTTTCACTATGTATGTATGTAAGAAGTTACATGCCAGTAAAATGGTAACAACATTGTATTGTGTAACCTTGTCTGTGTGAAAATTAGTGACACCAACGTGTGTTGATGTTTCACTGTAGTTAATCAATTCTTAATCAGAACCAACCTCTCCACCTTCCCAGTCTAATTAAATCATGCATCTGCATGGTAATCAAATTTTTTCCCTCTTCGTCTTCCCTGGGATATTATTATCAAACAAGGGCACACAGTCCTTTACACATGTTTATGTAAGAAAACACTGCAAATGTGCAGCCAGTTTTATAAGTGCTGCATCCAAAAATATACAAAATTGAAGTTGAGATATAAAAGATATTTCTAAAAATTTTTTCTTTGCTGTGGCAAGAGTATGTTGTTTTCTCAGTATGTTATATTGTCTTTGTCATTCAGAAAAGAAAACAATTGAACTTTAAGTAGATGTATTGTCAGTTAACAAGTAGCTCTCACTTCCAGGTACAGAAAGTTGTTCAAGATTGTTATGGACACTGCATTGACCAGAATTACTGTATATTGGGAAATTTTGGAATCAAAATAGTCTATGTGTGAACAACTACTCACCATATACAGAAAATAGCTGCAGTAACTACTTCAACTTTAAAATAGACTAAAATGTTAGGAAAGTGGGCCAAATACTTTGATTAATTGTTAATCACAGATAAAGACAGTCTGTGTTAGAATTGGACCTACTTTCAATTGGAACTTCTTCTTGGGAAATTAAAAATAAAATAGTAGCTCCAAGATGCTACAGTTGCTACTTTAAGATACTGTGGGAAAAATGGTGCTTTTAGATGCTGTCCTGCCATCATCATGTACCCCCAGCGTGGTATCCCTTCTCTGCTGCCCTATTTTCTAGTCTTCTAGCTTCCTTGTTTTGTAGTTTCTGTCAGTGATCTGTACGTTTCTTTCTGATATGTTGTGTAGAAATCTTGTTCTCATTGAAGCCCCTTTGCCTTTCTTTATCCATCGATCTTTGTCCGTCTTTTCTTTTGTGAACTCGGTGGTCTGTACCCTTGATGTGTATCCCACTATAATGCTTCTTATTTCTTTTGCCTCCCATGTGGTAGGATGTTCTGTTATTGTCCTTGTTGTTTATTAAGTATAATTATGTCTTCCTGCTTGTTGCTACTTCCATTCTGCCCCCTCCCTTCTTCCTTTTGTCTGTCATCAGTCATAATTTTCCATATTTCCAAGGATATCAATTTCTTTCTAAGTTTGTAATCTATACATTTCGCTTCATCATTACTATGAATATACTCTCTGTTGTAATTCATTTTCTATAAGACTATCACTTGCTCTTCTTCTTGATTCTTTCCTTTCTTGATATTTCTGTCTTATGTCCCATGATTTCTGTTAATGCACTGTTCCAGCAAGGAGTCAGGCCGCACTATGTTTCGCACCACTTCTGTCTGTGAGTTCTGACTCTCTCCCCCTCATTTATGTTCTATACTTTGCCCTTCCACTACTACTTTTACTTGTACTGTAGGCTGCATCCAACCCCCTCCTCCCTCCCATACAAACATTAGCATAGCTGCTTGGTGACATTGAACATGATTTTTTATTGAATTCTGGAAAATACACTCTCAGAAATGGGCTTCTTCTTCTGTTAGCCTTCACTATGCAGAGCTTCCTAACTTTGCAGTTGTTGACTTTTCTATCAATTGCTCTCTGCCATATTTAGAGTGTGCTGTTGTTATGATACAGTGACTCCCATTCCAATATAGTATACCTAACATTTGTACTCTCCCGAAAATTGACCATCTTGATCAGTGTCTAAAGTTTAACTTTTGTTCCAACACAAAGAATGGTTCTCACCTTAAGATTTTGACCAGTCACTCTGGTCTTCTTCAATATACTGACCCAGTGAGACTTGTCATGTGGCCAAAAGCTCTGGGTGAGAACAAAAGTTTTAACTTTAAACATGTAGCTACAAACACAGTTGAACTTTCATGATGGCATCTTACTCAATAGAAATCTTGTTTCGGTTGTCATTGACATCAATTGGAGCTACATAAACCTTCAGCAAGCCAAGACCAGTACCTATTTCCATACAGAGGCATTCTTACAAAGCTGACAGTTAAATGTTACACCATGTATTGGAGTGGGATTACATGTAAACACATATGGGCTTGTCTTGCCTGTAGTGTAGTTGGTAATAGTAGTAGCTGCCATGCATGTGTTGGTGTTGCGTTGGTGTTGGTGTTGGGATCCCATCAGTAACTCCTTCCCTTCTCCCCTTGCTTACAGAGCGGTGCTCCACAAGGCTCCGAGGTAGGCGTGCGTGCCTGCCCCTTTTGCTTTCCCACCAAATGTAACACACACTTCAGTCAGCTGTGGTAGCTTCAGCTGTACCCATTTCTATCCATTGTAAAAAGGTTCTTGCAACAAAGCCAATGCTGTACAGTTATATATAACACGGTTTCCTTGACTCCAAGTTGGTGTTTGGATGTGTACAATTTGTACTGTACTTTAAATGTCGGGGAGGGGCATTGATTTGAATTTGGGTGATCATGGCATAGTTAATTGTCTACCTTTCAAACCATGTAACGTTATATGATCAGAATCAACAAATGATGAACAATGAATGTGTCGAAATTTCCCAATGTACAGTGAGATTCCATGTGTTCTTGATGTACATAAACTAAAGAATATAAAAAATATCCTCATAATTATTGTAATCTATTAGTCAGCAGATATACCATGAAAATTTAATTGTATTAATCTGTACTCAAATCATGAACAATGGTCATCATTGAAACTATTTTCAGAAGTCATTATTTCCATGTATGGTCATTATCTCCATGTATGGTCATTATCTCCATGTATGGTCAATATCCCCATATATGGTCAGCACTCAACAGTGATCATGATCCCATTACATTAGCAGACATGTCATTGCTTGCACCCAACTTACCCTCTAATACTAATTTTGAATCGAAAACAGAACAACAAATTTGGAAGCTTTATGTCAAATTCACCCCCTCACCCTTGAGTACTAACCAGGCAGCATTCTACTTTTTTGTAATCATTACCACTAACTTACTTACTTACTAAAGCCATTTCATTGTGCAGCCAAGAGTGGAAGGAATGTAACCACATGTAACAGGTGCTCCAACAGTCAACCTGCTTTAATGTCATTTCATGCAGCTCACTACAAGCCAGCCAGCAGCCTATACCAATCCCTGCATTATTGTTGCTTCCCTTGTACGATCCTGCCTTTAGTTATTTAAAAGAGCCAGCTATAAGAAGGATATCTCAGTTGTATACCTCGGTGTTGGTCTCTTTGATCTGCAGTAGTTCTGGGCACTTAAAGCTACAAAATCTGATTAAAAAAACATGTTTTCCAATAGCCCTGTCCATGGTGCTGAATTTTAGGCTGCTTGGTTCTACCAGCCTTCCGAAGGAAGAAGGATGCCATTGTAGTTGTAGGGTGTATACTGGATAGTTAAGAATGAAGTCGACCTTTTTAAAATGTACAGAAAAACCCTAACTAAACTGTCCCATAGATTACGCAAACATTCTATGCTAGATACAGGGCAATCCCCTGACCTCCCAAACATGCCATGCTAGGTGCTTGGCTGTCCCCTTAGACTACCAAAACCTGCTATGCTAGGTGCTAGACTGTCCCCTGACTAGCCAAAGATGTTATAAAATATGCTAGATGCCCTTTAATCACAGCTACAACCATGTAATGTGGGTTGTAGTTACTCAAACATGCTAGGTGCTATAATCACAGCTACCACTATTTAGGCCATACCAATTTAATTTGTTGGTTCACGGATTCGCCTGCTTCATTTTTTTCTGATTTGTGAAAAAAATTCTGGTTCAGAATCAATTGAAAAATGCTCATATTTTGCCCCAAACAGTTGAACACAGTCCTTTTCTTTCTAGCTGCAGCTTTTCCATGATCTATCAAACCAGTGGTTTCATTAAAAGTTCAAAATTCATCGTTTAACTTTTAAACCAGCCTGGTATGTTGACTTCATGGCTCCTATGATTATTTTGGGGCTATCATAGGATGCCAAGGCCTGTTTTCATTTTCTTGCCCTGTTGTTCAGTTCAGTTTAATTCAATCAACTTGACAAAATACAAAATGCTGTAGGAAAGAGCGACAGTTCATGTCTCTTTGCTGTAGCTTCACATTTTTTCTAAAAAAATCTGAGAACCAACCAATGAAATTGGTGTGGCCTAACGTGGGTTTGTCTGTGTCTGCTGACAGACCAGAGATCCACAGGGGCTGGCAGGCTGGGCCTGAGGAGGTAGAAAGGGAGTCTGTGTTGTGATGAGGGAAGGTTGAGTGTTGGAGCTCGCTGGTACGTGGGGTTACCAAAATCCTTCCTTGCCTGGCTAACAAGGAATGCAGGCTGTAGATTGGCTGTTAAGTCGCCCACCCCAAAAAGCTGCTATACGTTTTAAGAGGGCCTGCATGGAGGGGTAGTGATTTCGAATTACGCAAAAATTTTGCCACCGATTACGAATTACGTTAGATTCTCAGAGCTGATTATGACTTTACGCTTGCAGCTAATGTACTATTACGAATTATGTTGATTTTTGAAGAGGCTGCCTAGGGATTATGAAGACTAAAAAGGCCCGATTACGCCTTGCAGGCCCCCTTATAACCACCTGCATGCAGTGGGTGACTCAGCACCCCGTAATGGTGTGGGTACACTGGTGATTCGGCATGCCAAAGGTTAAGTTTTATAATTTGTGAATGTGAATATCAACCTGTTGAGACAAACATGTTTCTTTCACACCATTCTCGGCCATGTCTTTTATGTCTGCAAGCTGAATTGAGCAGCTAAACTTACAGCTCATAAATTTACTTTGGTAATCACAATCAAAGAAGCAACATAAAAGCCCCACAAAACTGTGCTCACAGTCTGTGTAGCATGTCATTGCTGCCTTTCAGAGTAACAACATTGAATCATCCTGTGATATATGTGACCCTGTTTTATCTGAACCACCCAATTCTCCTTTTAGATGATATAATCTGCAGTAGTACCCGCAAGTTTTGTTTGTCATTTTAATGGTAACACATGAAAATTCCTTTGTATCAGCTTTGGATGCCTGTTTGTGTTTGCACTTAATGTAAAACTACAACTGCCACACAAACTACCATTGACTCTGTATAAACATGATACTGACTCTTGCAAAATGAACATGTTACAACTTAGGCATGGCTCACTGTAACACCATTATTACTGTGCTTGTGATGTCACCTTTTGTTTACCTTTGTTGTTGTTTACCACATGTTGTTTGTTTACGTTCCATGTCTAGTGAGTAAGAGAGGTTGCAGTTCTACATTTGCCCTCCATGAACACTATGTAAGTTCAGAGTTTTTCTCACCTTTTTTCTTCGCCATCTCGATTACTGCTATCTCTGATTGCCACATTCTAGAAGCCATAGTTTTCCATCTATCAATCAATTATGAAACAGCCAATTAATTTTTTCAAATCTACAAACTACAAAGAGTTGCAAATAAACTGTTCATATTTGTCTGATATGGCAAGAAGTATGAAACAAAACTGTGGCTTTTAGTATCCTTTTCTACATCTTATCATACTTGTATGGGTGGCACACAGTCTCACTGCAGAAACTATATAACTGTTAGTAGCCTGAGTTAGTAGCCTAACTTGTGGTATCTCAACAAACAATGTCCTAACTGTGAGTTCTTCTCTTTTCTTCCGACATAAATGATCGAATTCAACTGCCAAGTACATGTATTCTACATGAGAACTTTCCAAGCTCATTGCTGTACAAAGATATTCCCAAATTCCGCACAAATTTTAACTGTTTCCTTTTTCTATGTGATAGTGCAAATATTCTAGATTTGGTTCCACACAATATTTTGCAGTTTTGCAAACAAGAAAAGTAGAAAACTTGACTAGTGATGGACATTGTTGTTCAAAGTCAGGGAAAGTATTTAATGATTGTACCACTGCATGATGTACTCTTTTCTAATGTACCTACTGTCAGCTCCCCCCTCTCTCTATACTCTATCTGTCGGCCGACAATTAACATGAGGGTAAGAAGAGGCTTGTATTGATGTCGTGATGTGGCTGTGACCTGGTTTACATGCAGGCTAAAACCTGACAATATGAAAACTGTAAAGACATGCAAGCATACAAAAAAGTATGTTGTATGTTTCCTGCATGTAAATCGGCCTGCTTTGATGTACGTCAAGAACATACCTTCAGATTGTATATTACCGCCAGAGCTGACATACAATCTGGCGTACGTCAAAGCTTGCCGATTTACATACAGGAAAAATTCAATGTATAGATGCGGTTTAAGTACACTCGTGTGCATATATGGTTTTAGTACGGTCAGGTTTTTGCTCGCATGTCTGTGTTGGGTCTGTGTTGTGTTGGTGATTGATATTTTGTACGACTAAATGACTTTTGATGTAAAAATCTGTTTGATTCATCACAGAGATTGGTTGAAGGTCAAATAAGTAGCTGTTGTATAAGGCAAAACATAATCATTTGGAACGTTTTGTGGAAAATAATGTTCCTCAGATGTTGTTTTTTTTGTTGTTTCTTTCAAAATGTGGCATTTTTGGTCAGTGAGAAAAAAAGTAGAGACACAAGAGAAGGAAATCCTTGCAAAATTAAGAGGAGGTTTCAGTCAGCGATAGTTCTTGAGGCTTATAAAACTGTTGGACTGTTTGTGAGTTGACAGAAGCACTTGTTGTACTTTTGCTAGCTAGAGCTGGCCACAGCCAAAAGGAAATAACATTTAGATTAGCTAAGCCTGGTTACCAAACCTATTATAGCTCCCGAGTCCTACATCCTCTCTGCAATGTAGTGCTTAGGAGCTATTTATATACATGTAATATACATGTTACAGTAATAGGTTTGGTAACCAGGCTAAGACTACATAGCTTGTTATGTCTTATGCCTCATCACACATACACTTGTTCTAACATCACCCCCCTCCCCCTTCCTTTCTTGTCCCCAGGAGCAGAGTGGGAGTGGTGCACCACTTGTAGGCCGTTATCAGCGAGTAGACAACTCCAGCACAAGTTACGCCTTCAGTGCCTTACACCGCCCCCCTCCCGCAATGTCCCATTACAGGTGTAAGATGATGGTACTGTAGAACTGTAGGTCCAAACTCTGTATTAAGTAATTTTGCCATTGGGTTGGGGAACGATCGAATAGCAAAGTTTTGTATTCACAACCACTTGTTGACATTTTGATGTGACCTTCTGTCACCTTCATCAGGGCAAATTATGACTGGTTCAATGTACACTGAAGCAACTAGATGTTACTGGTTCACTGTGTACTGAAGCAAGGTGTTACTGGTTCACTGTGCACTGAAGCTAGGTGTATAGCTTCAGTGCACATTGAACCAATAACACACCTAGCTTCAGTACACAGTGAACCAGTAACACCTAGCTTCAGTGCACAGTGAACCAGTAACACCTAGCTTCAGTGCACAGTGAACCAGTAACACCTAGCTTCAGTGCACAGTGAACCAGTAACACCTAGCTTCAGTGCAAAGTGAACCAGTAACACCTAGCTTCAGTGCACAGTGAACCAGTAACACCTAGCTTCAGTGCACAGTGAACCAGTAACACCTTGTAGCGTCAGTGCACAGTGGACCAGTCATAATTGCCCTGATGTAGATGACAGATGCACTAGTAGAGGGATAAATCTTTTGAGTACTCTAGCGGACAAGAGAGTACTAAAACAGACTCATCACAAAGGACAAGACCAAAAGAGAGCTGGAAGAGCTCTAGAGATCTGTCCCCACAAGAAGAGACTCCAAAGAGAACTGCTGTAGATTCCTTCTTGACACCTAAGGTTGGACCCCCTCAGATACCATCAATTGTTTTGAACAATAGATAATTAAATGGGGATTAGTGTCTAACCCTAACAATAGAATGACAATGACATAAAAACAACATCACAGCAGCCATGTTTTCACAGGTAATTTTGAAAGAGACTTTTCAAACAATGGGAAATTTACATAACAAAACAGCTGTAAAAAAGAGACTTGTAACAGACTGCAAGAGATCTGAGATAGTATTTGGGAGAACAATGCCTAATCCAAAGAGAACTGCAGAGTACTCAATTGTCCGCTAGAGTACTCAGAGAGATTTATCCCTCTACTAGTGATGGTCATCAAAATGTTGGTCCTTGGTCAGCTCTTGTTAAACAAGACAGTGGTTCTTTGATAATGAACTTTGCTATTCAATGTAGTTCCAACCCTAATTTCATAACACAGTGGACCAACTGTGATGTATAAAATGACAGCATAGCTTGTGCAGTAATGTTTGCGTATAGAATTTTTTGGCCACACCACAGGGGTGGAGCCAATAGCACTTTACTTCGAATTTAGATTAGTTTTGATGAAATTTAGCCATGGTGGACAGTTGCAATGAGTAGAAGTGTACAAGTGTGTTCTGTGTTTAAAGTTAAGACTTTTGGTCCAACACAAAAAATTCTCTCACCTAGAGCTTTCGACCAGTCACTCTGGTCTTCCTCAGTAGACTGACCCAGTGAAGCTTGTCACGTGGCTTCTTTGAAGTGTGACGTCAACACTGGGTCAAAGGTATCTGGTTGGACCAAAAGTCTTAACTTTAAACATGTAACTACCAACACAGATGAACTTTCATGATAGTATAAAAAGTGTGTTCCGTTGTGTTTTGTGATACAAAATGTAGTTTGATGATTCCAAAATGGCAACTGTCAGTTAAAAGCAAATCCTACATTGTAAGTACAGTATTAATAGTGTAAAACTGGCCCCTCTTCAAGAAGTGTCTCCGAGAGAGATGCCTTCCTCAGTATTACTCAGTGACGTCACACCCCAGTTCAGGTAAAAGTATATATATACATTTCTACATCGTGTATATACTATATATATATATAAAAGGAGTACTTGGAAAAGTGCAAAACAAACATACACTACGAAAGCTTGAACCAAATCAATTATGAGTTTTGAATGATTCTATTACTTATTGTAATTTTCTTGTTGTATGTTGACAATGGTCAAGTATTACATTGTCAAGAGTATGTTGAAAAAAAACATGTTAAATTTTAACTGGTAAAACGTTGGTTTGTTAAATAAAATATCACCTACAATGGCCAATGTGCTAAACACAACTGAGCTAAACAAGTAAAAAGACACCAAATCAACTTTCTACAAGAATGGAATTGACAGTGTTGACATTTTCAGCCATAAAAATGTTTGATCAACCCTCTGCTTACTAAGTAATGCTGTAACTGACGTAAATCTGGTGAACAAAGTAGCTCATAGCAGGGAAAAAGTTAACTAAAATTAAGTACATTTTCAGTATTTCTGGTACTTTCTTTCAACCCTTTGCTATAAAATTGAGTTTTATCAATAATATTAAGAAGGTTGCATTTATCAAATATAGTCAACCATGTAGGTACAGAGTATGATATGTTATAGCAAGTGGGGTTTATTTTACCCTTGCATCAAAAAATTGATTGATATTTGTGATGTAATCTACAGTAGCTGCAGACAAGTAAAGCTTATATGAAGTAGAAAGGTACATGTAGTAGGATGTGTACAGTTTGGATGGAAATCAGAAAAAAATTCAGCTAAAGTTGTGGGCTTCAGAAGCATTGTGAAGGAGACGTGTACATAAAATAGCATCATGTTTTGCATGTGCGTTTTCCAAAAGTTGTACAAAAGACGTTGGATGTGCTTTTGGTGTACTTGAATGCCGGTATGACAATTTGTAGTTTAGAACTTGGGGTAGGAAAACAGGAGCAGGACTTCCTGCTATAAAAATGAAGAAAAAAAGAGATTAATTTCCTTTCAGAAACGTATGGTGATTGCTTTTATTTAACATATAATATGGTGAATTGTAAAGGACTGATTTCATACATATATATTTAACCAAGTTGCTACTAGAGTTTAATTTCTTTTTTAATCTTGAAGATGTGTAAATTTTATGGTAAATTTTGAGGCTAAGTGCAATTCTTATTCAGAAATCTGCTTGCTGCATTATAATTGTTTTATTCTAGGTCTACATGGCACAAATCATTATAGAAATTACTGCATGATTTTAGATTTGCATGTTGAAATATTTTGCAAAATATTTTGTCTCAAAAAGTGAGAAAAAAATTCCAATAGAAATCAGGAGAGTGAAATGCTTTTGATAACTTTTTTCAGCCTCTACATATTCTTTAACAGAATTTTTCATACCATCAGTCATTCTGTATGTTTAAATTTTTTAACAAGGGCCTTTGAAGTATATTGTGTGCAAACATGTTTTTCAAATTCTCTACATGTTTTGGGACTTTCGTTTGGTCAATTTTGTGTACCATTTTACATTTTGCATGCCCTTAAAACAGTAGCCTGCTTATACAACAAACCACAAGTACATGTACCAAAACCTTAACCTTTTGAATGACTTTGAAGATAAGATATTTTGTAATGGAGTGTCAAAAACTGCATCTTAATAGACCAGAGAGCTAGACAAACTGGAAAGATTAAGAGACTTAAGGAAAGTTGGATTTTTCGAAATGATAGTGTACATTTCTGAATGAACTGTGCCATGTACGGACTACAAATTGACTTTGGACAAAGCGTCTGGTCTATGGTTACATGTGTTTTGCTTTTAAGTTATAAATGAAAATGCATGTGGCTGTGATAGCATCATTATGTACATGTAGTCATGACCACATCATGCTAATAGTTTGAAATGAAACAGGAGCTTAATACATAATTTAATGATGTAAGGATAATCTTGTAGAAAATGCTGCATGTGTCTTGGTGTTTGTATAGAGTTATAAGGTTTGAGAAAGATGTGTCATTTGCCTGACTTCGTTGTCAACATTGTGACAGTTTGAATTTTATGTCTATCTTTAGTGACGATACCATTGGAGAAGGTTTTGGAAAATAATTTTTTGGCAAAAATGGTGATTTGCCGTAGCACAGTGTTTAAGAGCAGTAGCAGGTTTTATACATGTATTTGAATGTGTTGCTTCAATCCATACAAGAATCTTGAGTGCAACTCTATAATACAGTGTAGTAGGGACACAGAAAGGACAACTCTCTGTACAATACATGTACATGTAGGGTTGGAATAGTGTGTGCTATTCTAGTGTCTGCATTTGACAAATCATTATTGTTACATCCATATCCAAAAACTTTGTTCTCTACAGCTGAATGGCTTACGTACAAGACTTATACATCGATACATACTATGTATTACGGAGCGGGTACAATGTATAACGTAAGGGTTACATGCACATTGACGAGACGTTTGAGAGAGAGTGATGTGAGAGTTCAACATTTTTGTGTGTATATTGTTGAGTGACAATGTAGAAAATTAGCCATATGTATATGTTAAGTTTCTGGCAAGGTGTGCTGAGTATTGCAAAGTGAATGAGGTGCGAGCACTTGCATGACACATTTTTGAACAGCTATGCTAAGCAAGCAGTATGTAACGTTACATGTCATGGAATTTTGGTTCTAAAATGACACTAATTTTGTGCAGATTTTAAAATTTTCTATTTTTTTGTTTCTCATGTACTACTAGACAGTATATCCATGTCTGTGTTGGATATGAATTTCATGCAAAACACTTTTGAAATTTGTTTACTAGAAAATGGTACCATCGTTAAACTTTTGGGGCTAATACTAATGGAAAACTAAGTTATATTTTAACACTTTGACACTATCAAATACCAGTGCAAACTGCAACAGTTTTATTTTAGCTTTCTTCATTCAAATAAGCTACCATATATGATGTCCGAGTACATAATTGTTTTTCCATTGCTTGCACTATGTACGTGAGAGTTTTTATTACATTTTTGAAAACCACAAACGCATAAAACAGTGAGCCTAGTGGTGCAGAGGTGTATTTTTGTACTGCTGTTACCGGTTGTAAAATAAAGGTATCAATAACAACATTTCCGTCTTCTGTGACATCTTGTTTCTTCATACCATATACACATAGCAGCAGCAGAAAGTTTTGTACATTACATTGACTTGGATTTATGTTTATGATGATGATCATGACTTCTGTACTGGTATCTTATAAGCCCATATGGGCTGGCGACAATGTCAAAAGACAAAATAAAATTCATTCATTCATTCATTGTAGAAATGGACTGAAAAGAATTAAATACAAGCTTTTCCCATCAAATTTGAGCATAGAGTCCTATCTAAAATTTAGTATTCATCCTAACATAAACGTTGGAAAATATCCTCCTTGCTCAACCTCATTAGAACATTAAACTAGCTTCTTTTGTTATGTTAAAATGTTACTTTGATCCTAAAAGAGTTCACTTACGTGTCTGAATAGTCTTAAAGAGTTCCCTTATGTGAGCAACCTGTTTTGATAGATATTTCATTGCGTAGTGGGCTTTTCTAAATTCGTTCAGTATCAATCAATGGCTTACAGACCACTGTTGGTCACTGCTGGACTAGGCATCGCCCCAGGACGGTCACAAGTACTACAACAACAACAGTGGGGCAGGCACTTACACGCCGCTCGGAACGTCTCCCTGTAGTTCTCACTCAACAGCGTGTACATGAAGGGGTTCAGACAGTTGTTGAGATACGTCAGCGTGAACAACCCGAACTCTAACCTTTCAAACGTCTGAGAACTCAATCCTATCGTCGAGAAGTCATGCGTGACGCGTACCAGCCACCATGTGTAGTAAGGGAGGTAGGAGAGGGACAGGACCATCAGTAGTATCAGGACCATCCGCACGACTTTTCTCTGAGCGGCCCGGATGCGGCGCGACTCGTGGCAGCTGTCCGGCTGCTGGTCGTCTCGTCTGGCGCCGTGTCGGGCAAGCATGCAGCAGTAAAGGACGAAGATCAGGACTCCGAGAGACCCCAGCACCACGCCGTACGCGCTGTAGTACACGGAGAGCCAGAGCTGGTCGGCGTCCCAGTCACACAGGTCGTCGCTGGTTCCATCTAGTTTCCAAAGGATGAACATAGGGAGAGATAGTAGCACGGCTACGACCCACGTCACCACACAGGCTGCCCGCGCTTTTCCTACGGAACGCCATCGGAGGGATTGTAGTGGGTGAGCAACGGCTAGGTATCGCTCAACGCACATCGTCGCTAAGGTCAGCATGGAAGCCGCCAGCGTGACCATGTAGAGGGTCTGCCCGCACACGCAGACGACGTTTCCCAGGAAGGGTAGCAGGGCGTCGAACGTGTCTTGTGAGAGCATGAGCGGAGCGGTGAGAACACAGAGGGAGTCCGCCGCGGAGAGGTTCAGGATGTAGGAACTGATGACTGCGTGAGAGCGAGCTCGACCGGACAGGGTGTAGAACACGAGAGCGTTTCCGAGCAGACCGACCGACACAACCGCGCCGACCACCGTTAGGGCCAGCTCCGATGGGATGGAAGTTAAGTCTGATGGAGACGTCTCTCTTGAAATGTTTAACGACGTGGCGTGAGTTGTCAGAAAACGTTCCATGTCCGTTGGAGGCGTTCACTGCATGCCCGGATCCGAACAATATTGGCTGCAGTTTCGTACAGTCTTGTGCCACAGACTCGTATAGTTTAGGAAAGCCTTCGCGGAAAATTTGTCACGATGCACGACGTTGTTCTTGCTGCTGTCGTTGTTGTTGTTGTTGTTAATGCAAGAACTAGCTAAGAAAACCGCAGCTTTTCCGAGAATATGTTGGAAAGTCTCCAAGCATCTCTGGACGACATGACAGTTACCGCCCAAACGACTCGCGACTGATACTTGATTCAGACACCCCGTGCAGGCCTGGAAACACGACAGCCCTGTCCGCGGCGAATATTTCGTTACTGCAACTCCTGGTTGCTCTAGCGCTGTTCCTCTCCACACCAGCAAAGCGGCTAGTACCAGAAAAATCCGTCCGCCCATCACTGTAAAATCGCTTCTCCTCATTTTCAGTCTATGGAGCGACCTTTATGCAAACAGTGCGCGGTGCCGAACGAGGAAATTTGATTTGGAGTCAGAGTCTATTCTGCCATTGATGTATTCAATAGAGCTAATAGAGTTACACTCGAGTAAGTAACGTCATTTGCGTGCGATAGACGCCGATGTTTTCGACAGGCTGCGTCCAAATTACATCACGCGTGAAGACGACACTCCAGTCGGCAAGTTCTTACCTGCTTCAGCAAGATGGTATCAGAGTTGGCTCTTCTTGTAGAGACAGAAATTGTCGCTGCGCGTGCCCCGACTGAAAATCTTGCCCGCCAGTTTTCATTCACCGCCAATTCATTGGATAGCTTTAAACAATGTTTAGAGTTAGATGTTCAAGGGTTAGGTGTAACAAGTCGTACGGCGTAATTTAGCCAGCTGCCGCCGCGCCGCGTGCCCGCGAAGCTGGTGTGTTACACCGAAGGACGATTATACCGGCTATACAAAATTCGAAGATTCAAACACAAGAAACGCGATGCTTTCTTCACCAATATCCTCCGAAGCAATGCGAACATCTAGAACGTACGCGTACGCTCTCAGGAGTCGACAACGTGACCTAATATTCCAAACTATAAAAGGGTGATCGTGAAATGAATCTATGCAACTGAATACCTTTTCACACGTACTTGAGTCCCTTGGCCCCAATCGCCTTCACTTTCTTCACGGCTGTTCATCGATCACGAAAACAGATGGACTGAACAGAAGTGTTGGTACCCTTTTCAGAATAACGATGTCCCCCAAAATATGCACGAAACGGCTGTGATGCACCTATCAACACGAACCCCGAAGGGGCTGGCATGGTGGTTGTCAATTAAATGCTCGTTTTAGGCAGTTATGTGAAGTTATGCAGACTCCAAGCTAATCAACAAGCAGTGTCCTCCATCATATGCAAACGCCGCCTCAGCTGGTTAGGACACGCTGTCATCAGACTCCCGCCTGTCAGACTCGCCAACCAGGTCCTACAGTGGTTCCCAGAAGGACGGAGAAGAACGTCTAAAATGAACTGGCGACAGTCAGTCGAGAGGGACTTTCAGTCCGTGAACAAGAGCTGGAAAGAAGCCTTGAGTCTAGCTGCTGAAACAAGCTGGACTACATTGACTGCCTCATTCGTCACGAGACGCGGGAGCTCCTAAGTAAGTACCTGGTATGCAGTCTAGTCTAATCTCCAAGCAGATGTTTAGGTGGCCGCAAAAGACAGTATCAAATTGGCCAAGCAGTATCCATTGGCCAGACTGTATCCATG